ATGTTGCGCGGGAGCAACCTAAAATCGAAAAACGCCTACTCCTCTCGTTCACATATTTTCATAATTTTTCGTACATCTCTTTTCATTGTCGCCATGGATGTACATACCAAATTTGGTGGCCCAAAATTGCTTACTCGTTGTAAGCAAACCAAATGCTTATATATTTGCGCGTCAAAATTGTCTTGACACGTTGAAAACGTGTGCATACAGATTTATGCACTGATCTAAGTGTTTTCAAAGTGTTGATTTATGTACTGCTAAAGTTACATTAGCCCTCCACATCCGGGCTTGCTAAAGCTGGAGTTGTGCTTGCTGACATTTCATCAGGTTTCCAGATTGAAACTGTGGGTTCCTCTTTGCTTTCCCTTCGAAAAACGACTTCCAGCGTGTGAAAGCGCCATCTGTGCTGAGCGCTGACCCTTACCATTCGTGCATGTGTATTTCGATTGATAGAGCAGCTTAGAGTCTCCATAAGCATATAAATAATCGAACAAGTACAGCAGAAAATACTGAGTCTCGTATGCGCTCATATCCCGCGAGGGGGGGGGGAGGGGGTGATAGCTTGCTACTCTAGGCATCTGTATAATTTTTTCCTTCTATTTTACGGACGCTAACATACCCTAATATCTAAGTATAATGGGTGCAGAACATCGCCATAAGAGGCTCTTCACTGTTTCTTGTGGCACCGTCTGTGATCCCGGAGACCACCTCATATTTTCAATTTCTCTTTCTATAAACTTATTGAAAATGCTTTAAAGTTGCACTGAGAATATACTATGGCACTGCTAAACATATTCGTGGTAAATATTGGAGTAATTCGCCAGCATTGCTGCACCGCTGTTCGCGAACAGAAGTTCATCCAAGAACTTGCAATCTGCACCATATCCACAATATGCAAGCAACAGATTGTGCGGGCTGCAAATTTTCAAGAACTTTAGCTCGCGAACAGCGATTCATTAAAGTCTTTATATCCTGGGATTTCACTACTAATGTAAACATATTTGCGTGGCATAGTGCTATAGTATATTTTCGGGTGCCATAGTGTAAGGCTGTAAACTAAGTTTTGTAACTGGTTTCATAACTTCAATTTCTTTAATTATGGCGCACTCAAACTTTGGCATTGTGTAGAGAGTAATGTGTGCTACAAGTACGCACAAATTGCCTAAATTTTGCGCACGAAATAGAAAATTTTTCAGAAATTCAGGATTTTTCGAAAACTAGTGAAATTTGAGAATTTTTGGAGTTTCAAGCGAGAATGAAGCCTTTAGCAGCCTAGACCATGCGCAGTAATCCGGATTCGTCTGTAAATTATTGCTGGAGGTTGACTCCTTCGGTATAGAAAGAAAGAAACAAAATTTAGGGGCATATCGAGATTTGGAGTCCTCATAGTCGAACGAGTCGATGTACGCAAGAGCTGCGGGACGACCGTCAACGACTAAAGAGTCTGAAGCTCAAATTCCGCCGAGACTTTACACAATAAGGTTATTTGACCTGCCGAACGCGAATATCATATTCATTTATTATAGCAATGCCTCCCATTTTGTGCTCCGGAGCCCTCCCATTTTGTGCTCCGGAGCCCTCCCATTTGTGCTCCGGAGACCTCCCATTTGTGCTCCGGACCCCTCCGATTTTCTGCTCCGCGGCTCTTCCAAATCTAGCGGACTCGCGGCAGGCAAATTTCTCCGGCGCGGTTCTGCCAAATCTGGCGTACCTCCGGAGCAGAAATGGCGTACCTTTGCAGCAGGGCCGGAGAAGGGTCCCACTCGCTTGCTGGTGATGTCACCGCGACCTACAAGAAGGGACCGCCCAATCGCCCCGCTCTCATTGGTCAACTGGGTCCGGCGCGACTCTGGCAGATTTCGACTGTCCAGCGGAGGGGTCCGATCGATTGTCTGAGGCATGTTAAAACGTTTCGGACGGTGCTGCACATGGTGCAGCACGCTACTTCGAAGGGTCCTTTTGGTGTTTACAGGAGGTTTTCTTTTAGTTCAAGGCTATCCAGTCAAAGGCCTAAGCTTCTACTTTCCAAATGACTTTGTAGAGTTGTGCCGTGAATATTTGTTTAGGAGATATGAGCGCAAATCGAACAACAATTGCAACGAAGCGCGGCACCGCGAACGACGCGTGCGATGTCGCAACTTTCCTTTGCTCTGATATCAAAGAGAAAAACTGTGATTTCGATACTAATGTGTACCGTCCATAACATAGATAATTTTGGATACTATTAGAAACTGAATTCTTATTCCCATCTTTCAGGAAAGCACAGGAGTCCTTCACAAGCGACGAAATTTAAACACTTCGATTTCACTCAGAACTTTGGGTATAGATCTTATCTGACAAGTTGATTATAGATATAGCACATAGTCTCCAAAATAAGGTCCCTTTGTTGGCTAATGGCTGAAAATGCACTCTTTTTCGCCGCGCGCGATTTCGCGGTCCGAAACGTGTTAAGTGAGAGGGAAGTTATGAGACCAGTTGCAAAACTAGTTTACAGCCTAATATATTTTCCAGCGAATACCATAGTATGATTTCGGACAATTTTACAGCAATTTCATTGAGTTTATAGAGAAACAGTGAAGAAGTTACAGCTTGTATGGCAGTGTTCTATCATTCATTATACCCAGAGGATGAGTTATGTGAAATCATAAAATAGTTGAAAAGACTAATGTATATACATAGCGCCGCATGCACTAGCATGGCCGCGGGGAGGGGATAGCAGCTTAAAAGAAAGCTTCATATCTCGAAACTCGAGATACCTGGATTTAACGTTGTGTACCTATCCGTAAGAATTCCTACTACCCTTCACTATGAACATGTTGAACACGAGCGAGAACCTGTACAGACCGCATTTTTCAGCTTTTGTATGATCCCCGATGATCCCCGGCGCTTTTCTTCAAAGTCATTCTTCTTTCTCCGAAGTTAACGAATAACCTCCAAAGTTGTGCGTATTATCTAACCCGACAGTGCTAAGCATGTTGCTGATAAGAACAAATGATTTTTGAAGTAATGAAATTTTCGATGATCCACAGGTCGAAATTTGGGGTGTACCGAAAAATTCGATTTTTCAAAAGTTCATTTGTTCTCATCAGCAACATGCTTAGCACCGTTGTGTTAAATGTTCAGTATGACTTTGGAAGGTTTTCGTTAACTTCGGAGAAAGAAAAATGACTCTGAAGAATAGAAGTTCGTACCCCATGGATCATCAGGGGATTCGAGAGAAAGCTGGGAAATGCGGCTTGTACAGCTTCTCGCTTCTGCTCAATATGTTCCTAGTGAAGGACGGTGGGAGTACTTACGGACAGGTAGACGGCGTGAAATCCAGATATCCGGAGCTTCAGGATATGAAGCTTTCTTCTTGCGATCCCCTCCCCAACGGAAATGTTAGTGCATGCGGCCCTTAGAGTTGGAAATATGAGGCGTTCCCTCCCAGATCCCTTCTCTTCCGCCGATGTACGTGCATATGGCTTTGATATTCTCAATTTGTCAAATTTATACACTCTCAAATTATTCATATGCTAATGAACAGGGCTCGGCACAGGTGGCTTGCAAAGCAAGCTGGATATCGTTTTTGGGGGAAAAAGCAAAGGGGACATCGTTTTTGCGGAAGAGCATAACGTTGTCTTTCGATCTGCTGCCGGCACGCTGTCGGCATGCCGCCAGCAAGTAAAGAAAGTGTTTGTTTACAGCGAAGCGAAGATGAAATGGCAGCAAAATAGGTGTGTAGATGGGCAATGGGGAGTTGGGACTATGTATGAAAAATTATGAAAAAAATTATGTGAACTAAGGGCGTGGCAAACTTTTTTCGGGGTTAGGTGGCTTTCAAGCCACCTGGATAGCCACCTGAGGTGGCTTGACGCAAACAAAGTCATATAATTCCTATTCTTCACATAATTTTTTCAAACTTTTTACATAAAAGTAATCTACATCCAATATTCTACAAAACAGCTCTTGTACCTCCTCAAACCCTCTCCTCCCCGCCTAGTTATAGCCCTCCAAATTATCTGGATGGCAGCGGCAAAGGTGCTCCAAGCTCGCGGTGGTACGCGGCGGACACAGCATGCCGCCAATCCAGATAATACAAACAATCACCGGTCTTTATTGCCTATTTTTTGTCGCCTTTTATTCTATTTCGTTCTTTTTGTTTTCATTTTTGATTTGTCGTTAACGTGTCAAGGGGGATGTCGTACTTCTGTGGCGAAGTTGAAAGAGACTTCGTTTTTTGCATTTTCAACTAGCCACCTCGTGCCGAGCCCTGCTAATGAAAGCTCTGAGCTACTCTCACTTTCTTCTAGATTGAATTTCAAGAAATTTTATAAATTTTTCAAAGGAAGAAAGTCGCTCAATCAAGCTTCATTTTGACGTTCCTTGGTCTTTGGGTTTTGCGTGTTTTATTTGGTTGTCTATTCAACAAATTTACAACATAACAAACAAACAGAAACAATTACATGCAAGATAAGCACGCTGTTTATACTTCACCTTGTCCTTGATAGAGTTGGCGCAACACAACTTCTCGCTATGTGGTCTGGCGCATTTGTCATATGTCCAAAATTTGTATTCTTGTGCGAATTAACTCTTTACGATTCTAATTACGGATCCACCTCTTTTAATCTGTAGATGGTTCAACAGACATCCTTTCTCAATTGTGTCTAAATGCTCATTGTCGACTATAAAAAACACCACTATTCGATAACTGAAATTTGATAGTTTTATTACTGAGCGGCTTTAAGTTAATCCTTCTTACAATCGTTGCAAAGTGAAAATGCTCTTTTATTTAGGCCTATCTGGAATGCGACTTAATAAACTTGTCGAATGATTGTTCAGCTTCTCGGTTCTAGAATTTGAATGAAAAAATTCAGCAAAGCATACAAATAAGAAAAAAATGAAGTGGTTAATGAAGTAGGGCAAGTTTTCAGATACCGCATAAAATGTAAAAAATTGAGTATTGAATGCAAACAAAATCACTACGCAACTCGATAATCGTCTGACAAGAGGACTCATTTCTAGCAAAGTGAGTTGTTCATAAAACTAAGTGGAAGAATTCTTGAAGAGAGCTTACTAGCATGCAAATCATTTTGTTGTACGAGTCAGGAAAAGTTCTGCATATCGATACTGACGATCGATGTTAATATTTGAAATCATACAAATGCCGCTTAAATTTTCATAATGCCAAAATATTATGCTCCACTGTAGATGAAATCCATAGCAATAAGTGCAAGTAAAGGGCACCTTGTACAAACAGTGGTTAAATTATTTCAAAAACCCTTCTAAAATTGCCTTGAATACTTTATTGCGATTTTCCCTTGAACCGCTTTCTCCGCCATTATATGGTTGCGTGACCGAGACGAGTGTTCCTCGATTATCGTCCAGAATCTTGCCGAAGTTTCCACCTCAAAGCTCAGAGTAAATTAGTACAACATGGTGTAAGATTGTAGCACATATGTAAAACATGAAACACTACACTATACAAAGACGATAAGCTCCCACCAGCCAGATTGACAACCACAATTCTTTTGTAATGCTCGTATTTGGGTTTGATCGTATATCCCGTTGTATTTGTCCTGCAAGAAACATTTTTATTCGCAGCTCTATAAGTAGAGACGTTTGACGTTTGTGTAAATCTCTGAGATAGAACACGCACACTGATCTAAGCATCACTCAAATCAATCGCTGTTGATGAAATTGAACAAAATCTTTTCTAGCGCTAGATCAAGTTAGAACTTAAATCCAACCTTCCGTTAGGTTTATAGCGGTTATTGATAACTTGTGCTCTCAAACTCTCCAGTTCTGTCCTTCAAGTGTGCTGCATACAAAACGATAATTGTGTTAGAAAAAGTGTTGAGGAAATTCTAGCGCAGAGGATTGGACGTGGCCAAAAAGTGTGGTCGAACGCATCTGCAACAAATACGCGGCCCATGCATTACAGACAGTACAGGTTTGTAGCAGTTGTCAGCGCGGGAGAATCTTAACATAAAGTCCCACCCCGCCTTGTCGTCTTACTGTGATAGAAAAGTCTTTGCAAGTGTTAGGTGAGGGTTGAAATCAACAATAAATTTTCTACGGACTACAATTCTTTTACCACTGAAGATGTTTTCCGTTTTCCACTCAGCAAGAAAAAATGCCAAGATCACTTTCAATTCTGAAAATGTTTCCCTTGGACACAGTTTCCAAGAAAAGAAGGGATGATTTTTATAACTTACATGGCTGATAGGAAGACCAAGCAATTTGCTTTGCGGTCGAGGTCTCCATTTTCATTGATTTCCGAAAATACCCTATGAATGATAAAAATAGATATAAATTCTTTGAAAAATTTAAGAGAAAACGCACTCGTCATTTCCTACAGACGGAGATAGTGAGTTATTGTAAAGCGTCATCAGCTCGTGTGTATATTCAGCGAATTTTTGCCAGTCATTCGTAAAACTTTCGAACCGCTGTCGAAAGCTCGTTGGTTTGACGTGACCGTAAGCCCAAGACGCAACAGTGTTACCATCGTACCAGTTTATCACTGATTCAGCAATTTGAAAGATCAATTCTTTTTCCTGAAAAGAAAAACTCTCACCTTATTAGAATCGCACATGTACACATTTCCGCAAACAAGCTACGTTTACTTCATATTCATGTTTGTAGGACATTGGATGGCCCAAAAACGAACAATCAAACAATGACAGTGCTTGGTCCCACTTATGATTTCAATCGACTACTCGATTACTACTCTTACGCTGTATCGTTGTTATGCAATTACTTGAGTTTGGTCTGCTAGAAATACAGGGTTTCCCAAAAAATGTATCGAACGTTTGGTCGTTAATATCTCTCTCCCAAGAAGTCTTTTGCCTTGCTTTAGGTACCATTTTGTAGAGCTGGCTTCAACTTAGATTTGCATTATAGAACGAATCACCCATCTTCTTCATTACTGTAGGATTACGGTAGAAACTTGAAACATATGGTGTCAATGTGAAAAAAGCTGCCGTTCCAATTTTTCAAAAAAATGTGAAAACTTGTGTAATAGGGTTTTTATGGACGCTGAGTTCAATACTCAACTATTCACAAGATTACGAAGCTTTCTAAACGGTGTAACCGCACTTTTTAGGAACATTGAAAAAAAATGGCCGCTACCTCTTACTTGACATAACTCTTCAAGGAAGCATCATAATAAATTGGGAACTTTACAGTTACAATCAGCAACTCTAATTAGCCTAGTGTAAAAGTTTTGAGGCTGTTTTTTCCTTTCTGGGGCAAGATATGGCCTTTCATTGCTTAAAACCCTCTTTGAAGTTTCTACCGTAATCCTACAGTAATGAGGAGAGATGAGTGATTCGTTCCATAATGCAAATCTAAGTCGAAGCCAGCTCTACAGATTGGTACTGAAGCAAGGGAGAAGACTTCTTCAGAGGAGAGATATTAATGATCAAACATTCGATACATTTTTTTGGGACACCCTGTAGAAATTTCTTGGTCTGCTAGAAATATGAATAACTATAATATCGAATCATCATAAAATCATTGTCGCTTACAGCCCTAGCGCTACTGAATAAACACTAAAATAACTTGAATAAATTGATGGGTGGTACTATGCGATAGGGCAGTGCAAGCTCTGCAAGAAAATTCAGAAAGATCCGATTTATGATCTACAGAATTTCGAGAAAGCCGAAGTTATATAAAACACTTAGGAAGTCGGCTTTGAGCCCAAAAATTCTCTACACACCTTATATGACACAAATTAAACTTCTACATAAGCTGAAGGCATTGAACAGTTATTTATACAATTAATGTAACTTTCCGACTACTATCAAGAAAAATTAACAAAATGGCCCGTAGTAAAGTTTGATCAGTTGAGGTGAACTCAACTTATCCCATCAGTTAAGCTTAGGTGAAGTGAACTGATGACCGTCCACCTTCCCATGCTATAAGATGGTCAAGTCAACTGATAGTTGGTCATCTGTCCACCTGCTGCATCAACTGTTCCACATCCATTCACGTTGAGTTGAACTGAACGTGAACGGATGTTAGAGGAATGCAAATAGCGTGTAGAAGAGGAGACGCAGACAAGAGTTGACTGCATCTAACATAAGTTGCTCCTGAGTAACTTACGATACACACAGCTTTGCCAAAAAATGCAGAAAAAATCGGCGCAAAACTGCACAACCGCGCCTGAAAAGGAGAGGATCGATGAACAGCTGATTTTGGCGAGGAAAACAAAAAAAAACAAATTCTCCTCTTTTTTGTAAATCTTACTGACTTTTTTCTCACTAGTTGTATAAGACGAGAACTCATTTATTCTTCATTAAATACACGCTACTATCATTTCGTTTTTTCAAAAAATTTTCGTCACAAATTGTGTTTTTGTTTTATCCGTGTATTTGCTTGGCAAAGTCCTTGATAGCGATCATCATCGATTGCCATAGTGGCCGCTATCAAAGATTGCCCGGCGATGCATTAAAAAGCGAGTTGGTAGACAGAGTCGAACCACGGCCGCGCGCACGTAATTCCAGTCGCTTACCCGTTTGACCAAACCAGCTCGAGTGCTTGTTTTTCAAGTACACATTTGATTGCAATGCCTCGGCAGTGATCCGCATCCAAATTAATAGCTCGACGTGTGCTGGACTGAGGCGCGATGACCTCAACTCCGGTCCGCGTCGAGAGAGATGCCTTGATGGGGGGTTTACTACGGGCCAATATGATATGGCAATGCAGCTGAGCTTCTTTCACTCGTGTCGTTCTAAACTGCAAGCCTTAAAAGCACAAACACAAAAATGCAATCAACTCTACTCCTTTTCCCCCATTAGGTTATGGAGGACAGGCACCACTCTTTGCGCAGAAATTAATAAAAGACATTGCTACCATTTGCAGTTTCTCATGCTTTTTAAGACGCTATATGGCTGCGGTTCAAGCAACAAATCCAAAGGAAGTCGTTGAAAACTATGAGCTGTGGAATTTTTCCATATTTTCAGACAAATCCCCAGGAGAAGCCTAACTATAAGTAACAGATGATTGGCGCTTTTGATAGAAATCTATGTGAATCTGGCAGACTTATTTCAAACACGAACGCAACAAGCACCTTCAAATCTTCAAAATATGAAAATATGAAAATGCCGAAAGGCCGACTATAATTTTGCACTTTTACAAAGCAACAAGCGTTTACGCATTCGGAATATCAAACCTCTAATTATTTCATAGGCAGCGGAGTTCAAGAACATGAATTATTCGCTTTTTATCCCCCAAGACTTTGGCAAGGAATTTGACTATGACAAGACTTTGCCTTGCAGTTTTTGGTAATTCTCGAGGAGCTTGTTTGTTAAACTGCAAAATGAAGATAATCGTCTAAAGGAGCATAAGAACACTGAATGCTCCCAAAATCTTTCATGCATCTTTGTCCGCGGAATGTGGCGCTTGTTCAAAAAAAAAGAAATCACTTTTGGTATGACCTACATTATGTGCACTAGTAATCGAGGCTTAGCAGACTTGCCATCTACCAGAATCGTGAAAAGTCCCAAAAATTGAACAGTACATTCATAAACTTTTCTGTATGTATGACCTTCAACTAAATTCTGAAGATTCTTGAGGCAGTCCAATTTCTGTCAATTAAAAATTTATGAATTTGGTCATAATTTTTACGTCGACTACAATTTATGCGGATGGTTATTGAATACAGCAAAACCTTGCTTCGTTCTATAATTAATATTAGGGTGATCCAAAAATGATGGGCACATTGATTTTTGGACACTTCCTAAGGTCTCTTTTCTGGTTAACTATGAACAACCAGCAGTTTGAACGCTTTTGTATATAGCGACATTCGCAGGTTATCCCGGCGGCACCTTGCAGCCCCTCACCCATGATTCTTCGAGAAGCGGCGCTTTGGAAAATTCAGGCAGACTTTTTTAAGCGCCATCCAGATTTGTGCTGCTGTATCCCAAGTCCCTAGACATATGACATATCAGTGGAAAGAGCTTTCTAACAAGGGAACGATACTTAGTGTTCGTGGCCTTTTGAGATGAAATGTATACCAATACACTCGCCTTCGCGCTGATTCCAAATCTAGTTTCCGTTTCTGCTGAGCATTTCTCTGAAAGAAGTTATGAAGGATTTTCGCGTCAAATTTGGCCTCCAGAGATATGATAGGAACACCAATACCGCTGGTAGTTGTGGTGTAGTGGCTAATGCGTTAGCCTCACAAGCTAATACAAGTGTAGGTTCATATTCTTTTGTATTTTTCAGTTTTGCATCGCCTCAATTAAGCTTCTTTTTGAAAGCTTTTAAGCTTCTTTTTGAAAGCTTTTAAGCTTCTTTTTGAAAATTAGATTTCCTCGAGGTAAATGCATGTACTTACTCGTTGAAAATCTAACGAGGATTCATTTTTATACGAGTGTTTCCTTTATTTATTCTAAGAGGTGCCTATAAAAATGAAAATGAACGAAAAATGAACGCATGTTAACATGTTACCATGTTGGTGTTCTATCGTATGTTCGCGCGGCCAAATTTGGTGCGAAAATCCTTCAAAACTTCTTTCAGGGAAATGTTCAGCAGAAATAGAAACCAGATTTGGAATCAGCGTTCAAAGGCGAGTATACTGGTATACATTTTATCTCACAAGGCCACGTACACTAAGTATCGTTCCCTTGTAAGCTCTTTTGATTATTAATTGAATGTACAAAAAATTATTAGTTGGTATGAAAGGGGCACTTTATTCGAAAAAGTGTGATGTTTGGCGCAGATATTTAGGCTGAACCCCCACAATGGTCGGTCGCCTCATCGTGGCGTGGGGGTGACACTGGGTGTCGAACTGCGATGCACAGCCGAGTGTATACTCTGGTAAGGCCTCCCAAGAAGGAGGAGTTCGACGAATGAAGGAGTTCGACGTTTCCGGTCTCGGCCGGATGCCAAGCTAAGAACCGGCCACGCCAGATCCCCCGCCGTCTGGCTTCTTCTGGTCGCTAGGCGGTTCTCCCCGCTCCAAGCCCGAGATCAGCGATCGCCCCGTGGAAATCAAGAGTTGGTCTAGTAAGTCTGCTCTTGTAGGGGAACAAATTTTATTACTCAGACAGCAAAAAGATTTAGAAAAAACCCTGTACATCGGATCCCGCCTACGGGCCGGGTGGTAGCAAAAACGATGTCAGGGCCCTTAGGGCGCCTTTTGGATCGGACATAAACGACACGTCTGCCGGGACGACACGCCATGGAGACTGCCTCATGCTCTGCACCTACAGCGTCAAGACAGTTTTCACAAACGCCGATCTCCACGCTCTTCTCGATGCTGCAGAGCACATCAACTACCACATCATCGCTCTGCAGGAAACGAAGTTCAGGAAGAAGGACGTGCGACAGATGAGTGATGATACCCTCATCATGCGTGGTGAAAAGGTTCCATCACGAAACGTGGGAGGCGTCGACTTTTCGTCCACCCATCTATCGTCCATCTTGTCGATTCGCACGAGATCCTATCACCTCGACTAGGCATCCTACGACTACGCCCCCCCCCCCCACATCAGAAGACCATCAGCATCATCAACTGCTATTCTCCAACAGCTGACGAATCAGAACTAGA